AAAAAAACCACAACAGCCAACTGCAAAGACAAGGATGAAGCTGGACAGATGTGCAAACTGCATTGGAGCACTGGAGGCATGGAGAAACTTTGGGCTCATGTACTGAGCATAAGTTTAATTTTCCAAAATTACTGAAGGTGTAAGGAAAGCAAAACACAAGATCAGCTACAGGCCACTTGAAATGTCAGGACACTCCTCACATATTAAACTAATCTAAATGTACTGTTTTTCTATTTAAATTTATGTATTGGTTTATTTGCTTTTTAATTTATTCATTCATTCAGTCATTCATGCAAGGGAACAAAACACCATTTTGTGTGTTTTCATTTTAGTTTGTATGAAAGTGTGTATAAAACAAAACATAGGAAAGGGAAACACAGCTTACAGTGTGTTTGTTTGTACTATATGAAGTCAGTTTTGAGCAGATTTTAAACTACTAGCACCTTGTTTTCCATCTTATCTGCATTTCTTACCTTATTCCATACTTCCACGGCTCATTTATAAACTTCCCTGAAATGTTTGGTGATGCTTTTTTAACTTTTGAACCTGAGTTTTGCTAACAGATTTAACTGACTTTGAACATGGTATGGTTGTTGGTGCCAAAAAGGCTGGTCTGAGTATTTCAGAAAATGTTGATCAAATGGCATTTTCCCATAAAACCATCTCTAGGTTTTACAGAGAATGAAAAAGAAGAACTAGTGGGAGCTGATATAAAAGCAACGCTATCAAATAACCACTTGTTTAAACCCAGGTATGCATGAGAACATCTGAACACACGGCATGTCAAATCTTGAAGCAAGAAGTAACAGTTTGAGCTGGAAATGTTGGTCTGATAGTGTTGCGGGTATTTTCATGGCACACTTAGTACCAACTGTGTATTGTTTACACACTATAGCCTAGCTGAGTATTGTTGCTGGACATGTCCATCCCCTTTCGATCACAGTGTATCCATTTTCTGATTCTTTTCTCAGCAAGATAATGCACCATGACACAAAGCTCAAATCATATCATTCTGGTATCTTCAATATAACGGTGAGTTCACTGTTAACACAGAGCACATTTACGGGATATGGTAGAACAGGAGATTCTCATCATGGATGAGCAGCAACTGTGTGATGCTATCATGTCAGTACGAACCAAAATCTCTGAGGAAAGTTTACAGCACCGTTCAATGGGTCAAAAATAAGTTCTGAAGGCATTTGGGGATCAAGGCTAGTACCAGCAAGGTGTACCCAATAAAATGTCCATTGAGCATATTTCCAAATCATTTCTAAGTTTTTTTTTTATAGTATTAAGTATTTCTGTCTCACCATTTTTAGACTGAACATGCAACTTCAGATTTCCAAGTAGTGCACTCTCACTCCTCACAGATTGTATCACTCTATCTCCACCTTTAGCATTTATCTGTTGACTCTGACTATTTGTACAAAGGAGCTATTTTGTACATATGCTCCAGTCTCTGCTTCTGAATAAACTCCACATGAGAGGAGAAATGTCCCTTTTTGGTTTCTCTAGAGTCCGGAAGCAGTGGGTGGAAGTCAAAGATAATGAGGCATCCAACAAGGGTTTCTTGTTTGTTATGTGAAGATGTGAGCAGATACTAGTATGGAGTGCAAATACTACAGTAGGTCTGATGAGAGTCAAGTCTCAATATTTTTAAAGTTTCTTTAAACAAGAATCTTATTGTCCAATAAAAAATGTGAATTCTGTGACACAACTCCAGTCAAAAGAAAGAAAGGAAACATCCCCATTACAGTGTTCGAGGTTAAGAAGAAACACACATTCACACATGGCCTAATCTCAATTTGGAATAAAAATCTTTATTTCTTTTAGATTCTGCTACAAATTGCAGTAGTTTATTAGCATGCATAGTTTCACACAGTTAAGACAAGTAAAATCACAACTCTTTCTTCTTCTTTTTTTAAACAGCATGCATATACCCTCACATCCATTCATGAACAGTCTACAAATAATTTAGCTGTCCCAACAACTAAAGCGCATTTCACGCAGTCGTTTTGAAAATGTAATTCAGTGCATCAAATTTCTGAAAAATATTGCATCTACTTACCAAACTGGATTAGACTCACAAATAATGTTTGTAAACTTTCTTTGGCTTTTTTTTTTACCATAAAGAAGCTTCCACTGCTTCCTTGGAAATATTAATAATGAAGGTAAGGAAGCTGGTACACTACATGGACAAAAATATTGGACCGCCTACCCATAGCTTCATCTTAACAAGACATATTAGACAATTCTCCAGCGTAGTGGGGACTGTT